CCCCAAAACCCCAAAACCCCAAAACCCCTATAAAATTAGGTGGGTTGGATATAATTAACTTGTTGAATGGAGAGTAACAACACTTTGAAAATCTCTTTTGATTGGGAAAAAGAGGAGATTAATTGTAATCTAGAGCAGGATTATATTAGAGAAAGAAAGGAATCGGACTCTAATTGATCTATAAACAGTTTTTGATGAGATAAAAATGATAAAATGGCAATGAGTCCTTTGAAGAACAAAGGTAATCTGAAAGTAAATCAGAAAGAACAGTTTGTTGAAGAACTTAGAGACGTAAGAGTACTCACTAAAAGACAGAGATTCCAGAACAAAAGATTGAGTTTATATTATTGTAAAAAGTATTCTGCCTCTCCTAATGCAGGAAAGGTAGCTCAGTTTATAAGAGACTCTCACAATGTACAAGATGAATCACCAAGTTATGTTTCTCCTTCAAATATCTTTGAGGGAAGCAAAAATGCTCGAGTTGAACACTCATCTCCAGAATACCCTCTTGAGAACCTTGATGAACAAGTTATGGTTACCATGCAAGATGTGATGCCAGGCAAGAGGGTTTGTAATTAACTTAATTTTTGAAATTCACTTACTTTAATACTTGCAAATATTTCTTCCTGAGCGGTGACCAATCCGTATAAATTCTTTATACCCGATTCTAATAGCCAAATGTAGACTTTTAAAGCGGTAAAGTTTAGTAGAGCATCTATAGAGCATTACTTGCTTCCAAATGTACTGGGATATCATCCTAAAGAGTCTCGTTTACTTCTAAGGTATTAGGGGTATTTGAATAGTTGGCCCTAACTACTCAGACAATGAGGCATCTTTGTTACCTCATTTCAATTCGTCTGTGAAAAGTCACTGATATTACTAGTTCTGGGAATACTTTAATACACTGCATGCCTGCTCTACGGGGATGTTTCATAACTTGAAGAAATTATTTGCCTAATGAAATAGAGATCCACCGTGGATTTTACGCAAAATAGGGATCGATCATTAAGGTCTTAACTAAAGCAACGCTCAGGAGTGAAGTCTGAACAATATTGACTCTAGATACCTTCTTTTGTAAATCATAGTTTGCTTTATTACATTTGGCTTGAATGATATCCTTATGTCTTTGATATGCTGGGGAACGTTCGATAGAATTAGCTCTTAAAATTAAGTTCCTCTTCAACTTAATTTCATGAATTATTTAGTATGAAGTCCTAATGGTTTTAGATGCTAAACCTTAAATTCAATAGCCATCCTTAAATCGACTTTCACCATCCCATTTTTGAGAAATACTAAACGCAAGGATAAATTTAGGAATAAAGCTGGAAGTAATTTTGGAAGAATAAGAAATATTCAAAGAGACCATATATAATTATATCTTTTCATTACGAAAAGATTCCATCTTTCTTCCCATTTCTAAACTAAGTTCTGGCTGGCAATCTTGAAGGTAATCATCAGGTATTGACCTCCTCACAGGTAAATACTTTGGATTCATAGAAAGCAAATCGAGAAAAAAGAATTTGGATGAAGACTGTGGCTTAATTATGCTAAAGAACTTCAGACACCTTTCGTTAGTATTTCGACAAAAATTTTGAATTCATAGACTGGTATTGACTTGTGTAGAGACATCAAGGATTCATAAACCTAAAATGCCTGATGAGCATTTATTTAGGCTCTTGGAGTTGGCTATTGTCTCATTGTGGTAGGGAAATTCCTCCAGGCTAGATAGTATTTGTACGGAAGGCACCAATCTAGGAAAGCAGTGAAAAGTAAGTAATGAGAGGACTATATTACTTTAGAGCGGACCATTGAAGTTATTTATACCAAAACTTGACTACTGGCGCAATTGGCGATTTTAACTAAAATTTCCGATTAATAAGGCTTAGCACCTCGGAAATGTTACTTAAGAGCCTCAAACTCTTTGGGTGTGATGTGAAGGAGCATATTAAGACTCTTGATAATTTAGCTGCCAATCAGAGAGCCTCATGCCTAGTCCGCTATTTTATTGGAGAAATAAGGGACTATAGAGATTCAAAATCACCGACATTTCGAGATTTGATTGTTAATAAGTTAAGCACGGTGGGAGAAAAAATTGAATGATGCTCTTCTTCGAGAACTTTGGCAAATCTCTGTTCTTCGTTCGGGATACATCAACACTGTAGTTTTTAAAGGCTCAGCTTCATAGTTGTAACTGCTAGATAAAAATTGAAACCACTTAGGACTCTTTAATATTTTCTTTCTCTAACTATTTTGGGTCTAAATTTATTGTAACTTTTAATGAAAAGTCGGCTCTTAGCAATAGAAAATATTTGAAATTAGATTCTTCCAGCTAATTGAGCTTCAAGGTCCTCTCCAATATCACCTTCATTTGTAAACTTATAATTGTTTGCTACCCACAACTCATGAAAAACTGAATAGCTACAATGCCGTGATAAGAGAGATCCCCTGTGCATTTTAAAGAATTATTAATGAATTATACAAATAAAAATATCAGAAATATCCATGACACTTATAAATGACTTCTCAATAAGCTTAGATTTATAAAATATATTTTGTAGGAATATGAAGAATGAGACAGCTTTTTCAATTATTTAAATGACATTTGGGGTTTTGGGGTTTTGGGGTTTTGGGGTTTTGGGG